AGACTTTGAAATTGAAGCAGGGTTTTAGATTCTTGGCCTTAAGCAGTCCATAAACTGAGTATCTATGAGAACAGACCTGCACGTGGAAGGTAGTTTTCTGTAGCCAGCAGCGCTTTCCAGAAAGACTCTATCTGTATGTGCCCAGAATCTCTGCTTCCCAGTGTGTGGGTCAGACCTGAAGAGTGGATCTCGGCATGTCCCATTTTGTCCACTGCACTGGACAGCTCTACTCTGCATTTTATGCATACATGGGAGCCCACACTTGAGGAGCTGAGACAAGCTGGACAGTCCAAGGGATTGGAAATCTGCAATATTTGAACCATGTAGTGGCCTAGTGACCAACAAATGAAAATTTAAGGAGCGTGAAAAAGGATTTGTAATGTCTGGAGTAAGTGTGCTCTACCTGTATGGTGGATCTGTGAGTGATCACATCTGTAACTGTTTGTGTGACTGCAAAGTTAGGTCTTGCCTTGATTTTTTTAAAGATAGATTCATTTTTCTGCTCCATAAGTTTTATTGTGGATGCTTTCTACCACATTTTTATGTCATTAAATTTATTTTTCAGCTTTAGTATTTACATTTGATTTTTTAATTGAAACTTTTACTGTATTCTCTGTGTTCAATTTCTCATTTTAATCACTGTCATCCCCATTTCATTGAATTGTTTCTGCACATTGTTTGAAGTTCATTGTGTTTCCTTAAAATTGTGACTTTCAATTCTTTGTCGAGCAGCTAACATTTTCCATCTTTAGGATTAGTTGCTAGCACCCTATTTTGCTCACTTGGTGATGTTGGGCTGCTCTCATCGTCCCAGCTCCCTGAGGACATTTGTCACTATCTGCACAATGAAGAAAAAAGGGGCCTGTGGTATCCTTTCCTTTCTAGCTTTGTTGGAAATTTCCTTCGATAGTAAGCCTGTGCAGAAAATCTGCAGAACTCTTCTGGTGATCCACAAAGTTGGAAAATGTCAAATATTGCTAAACTAGAATAAATCTTGGGCCACTGTACTGGAGCTAGCAGGACTGGATTGTAACCTCAGGGCCTCTTAGTCTGGAGCTGTACCAGGCTGGAATCTTGTGGTCAACTTACCTGGCCCAGCCATGGGCCCTAATGCTTAAGGCTGGGAGATCTCCAGTCTTTCTGTTTTATTTGAGGCCAAGGCAGTTCTTCTTGACTGGTGATAATTCAGGCTGGAATGTCTGTCCTTCTTATCATTGCTTTTTGATTGTCTTTATTCCTACTTGTAAAGAAGTAGGGAAATGCTCCTGTTTCTAATCAGCCATTTTAAGCAGCCTGTCTCTTCTTTTACAGTTTGATTTGGGGCTACAATGATTCACGTTCAAACTATATTCCTAAGAGTCTGAACACAGCTATAGCACTGAAATTTAATTTCCAAGGCAAAGTTGGATTTATTTGGTTTTCTCAAAGGAAACCGAACTTTCTAGAGCTTTGCGGACAGGTAAGTGTCCTGGCATCAAACTTCAATGAGAGGCCATGTAAAGAAGGATAAAAAGGGGGACCATGGCACCCCTCCCCCATCTGAGACTGCACCTGAGCACAGGAGCTGCAGCCTGAGGGCAGATCTGCATAGCACTAGAGGAGAGGCCATGGAGGAGTGTCCTGTGAACCTGGAAGTGCTCAGAGGACAGAGGTCAGCTCCATGGTGCCCTGATAGTAACCAGCAGGCCTAGGCAGGTGCCTTAGGTGTAGGACACAGACCCTGGATACCACGACCAGTCACACTGAGCACCTCCTAAAGTACCTGGACTCTGCTGTCGTTTCCCTACGGACAGCAGCCCTTCCAGAACAGTCAGGATGATGTCTTCCATTATGTTCTCCAGGTTCATTTCCCAGGTGAGGCCCTACTATGCCCAGTGCCCTGTCAGTGTCCTAGGGTGACAATGTTGAGTATAACTTTCAGAATATTATTACTTCTGCCCAGTTTAGATGATGGACTGCCATCTAATTCCAGTCTGAGGCCTGAGCCATATTCATACCTTATAATGGGCCTCTTTCTGGGGCTCCCTCCAACAACCCAACTCTTTTGTATTTGCTCTTATACGCAACTCTAATGCCCTCTACTGGTGTGGGAGACTCAGGAGGGGCTACCTTGTTCCAGTGATCATAAAGCCTTGGTCTCTGAGTGGTGCTGATAGAGAGTCAAGTCTCAGCTCCAGCACAGGGCATAGAGTGTCATTTGCAGTTTAAAGGGAGGTCAGTAGCCCATGTAATCTTGTCCTAGTGTTGGAAATCCATTTTTCTAGTACAAGAAGTACAAGGAGAGTACAAGGTAAAATGTGCTCTTTCACAAGAAACATGGAGACCCAGGAAAATGTGATTCTCAACAGTAGGTCTCAGAATTTTTATTTAGAATCAGAAAATGAAGGTCCCTCCACCTTAATAGGAATACCTGTGGTATTAGAAGAAACACCAGTGGTGTCACTGGAGATCAGTGATCCCTTAGATGATACCACCAGCACTGTATCAGCATTTTTGCTATCATTTGTATGTCATCAGAAACTCTGTGTTCATCAAGGTAGAGTTTTGCTGTCCAGTCTGGATGCAAATTTCGGTGAAACCAGATGTTCTGCTTATCAATACCTGCAGATATTTGTTCCCAGGATGCAGAATCAGCACTTACTGAGTCCTGTTCTTGGATTTTGATGAAGACAACAGACATTCTAAGATCTGAGTCATGGAGTCAACTCTAGGAATCTATTTCTAAGTAATTAGACTTAGACATTTGTATCACTTAATTTTGATAAAAACAACGAAGTTCTCGTGATTTGTACAAACATTCTCATCTCATTGGAATTAAAATTGTGGCACAGAGAGACCGAGGTGCCAAGCAACCCGTGAGCAGTAGTGTGAAGTCTCAGAGCTGAGCCAGAGTTTCTACATTCAGTGTTAGGCTCTTTGGGACACAGCAGAACCAGGACTGTGAGGAAAAATCACAAGGGCCTGGTTGAGAGGAAGGGCTGTGTCCACCAGCCTAGCTCACTCTCCATTATGGCCTGGCTGTCCCTGCTCAGCCTCCAGGTGGTGTCCCTTTGGGGGCTGTGCCCAGGCAACCCTGGAGACCAAGTGGAGAATGAGGAGGCTGCTGTGCTGTGCAGTGCAGGGCTGGGCTGGCTCCTGCTCCCTCTCTCTGCAATGTTATCTGCTCTTCTTTGTCCTCAGCATGTAGGTGTTAGATGTCTAATGGCCATCTCTACTGTGTACTGCAGAGTCTTAGAAGACCTCTAGCCCTGCAGGTTTAGAAAACCACAGGGTTCATTCTCAGGGATGCAAGCATCAAGTCGAGTTGAGCTCAGCATCATGGCCAGGAGTGTTTTCTGTGAGAGGTGATTCTGGGCTAGTGCCTGTGAAAGGTGCCTCTGTGGATTCTGAGGAACAGAAGAGAGAGAGGTCCAGTTCATGGTGGAGATAACCAAGACCTCTGACTCCTATAATTACAGACTGGCAGGGCTCCCTGCCCTCTATCATTATCCCAGGAAGGGCGAGGCTCTGGGGTTAGTGATTAACTTTAAGCAGCTACAGCTCTAGATGGCTCCAGAGGGGATTAGAAGTAGAGAAAAGCAGGAAGGACATGATGGTCACTCAGGTTGCATATGCAGCACCAAAGTTCTGCTCAGATAGAGAAAGGGGCCTCCATTCCTCTCCTGCAGATTCAAAGCTTGCGATTAAGGAGTTAACATCTGAATCCCATGTTCCTGGAGATCCAGTTGGACCCTAAGCCCACACTGACCCTGCAGAAAAAAGAGGTTGTTTCTGGGAAAACTGAAGGAATCCTTATAGAACTCAGGTCAATCCCCTCACAGACTTTGCTCTGGAGGAGGCTGATTTCTCAAGAGGTTCCTATAGTATCCCATGGTTAACATGCACATGGATCGAATAGAAGGTTCTGGTCTGAATTCAAATGCAGGGCCTGGCACGGAGCAGGGAAAAGACGCTGGGTACCCTGAGAGGAGACTTTGGGACAGGACAGAGGGAGTGAACATCACAGTGGTAAAGGATTCAGTGAACATAGTGGGAGAGAAAATGACCTTGTAGATGGGCAGAGAAGACTATGGTTGCCACTGGAAAATGGACTGGATGCCTGACCCACATTTTTGTTGTTTGTGGCCCAGTCCAGGATGACTTAGATTTGGAGGAGGCAATTATTCCCATCTGTCCCCAACCTGAGCGATCATTTCAGGGGAGTGTCACACTCTCATGTGTATACCCTGTGAACTGGTCTTTTGTGACTGAGCTGATCCACCAATTCTCAGACACAGTGTATGTCTCTGTCCCTCTGTGTGTGTGACACATATTCACATCTCCTTTCCCTGTGGTCACTGTCATCCTGCAGTGACTATTTTTGGTGCTGGGGCCTGAATACACTTGTGTCACTTTCACTATTAAATCAAGCACATTGATTACTGGGGGATAAGGGTTTTGACAGTAAATGCCACATATTTTGCTTCCAATGTTCTATGATAAGTAATTCTCCACATCAGCAGTTGGTCGCACTGAGCACACAGTTTTCACTCATGCAAATTCCTTGGTTATCAAATCAATCAACACTTTAAAATATTCTCATGATCCTGTGTCACTATGTCACTGTTGTATCTGAAATCTACCTTCCTTGCAAAACCAGTGTTTACCCACCGAAGTGCACATACCCAAAACATAGTCTGCTGAACAGGTCTCCACCATAATGAGACACTGAGATGCCATCAGGTGAGAGTTACTCTCCCTTCTACCTGTAGACACAGTGCTGGGCTGACATCTCTGGGCCTGGGGAACTAGAAGTTCAACATGTTCAAAATTTCCAGTCCCAGGACCAATTGACTCAGCACCACCAGGGAGGTTCAGGAGCCTGCCCTGCCCTCATCTCAGGAATCTGGGTGGCCGGGCAAGACAGACTAGAAGCTTCCTCTCTATGTGGCAGACTCTCTGCTGTGTCTGCAGGCAGGGGCCAAGGCAGGGTTTGTGTCTCACTTCCCCATGTGTCTGTGTCACTGTGGGTGATCACTGCTACTATCCCACACATGACAGTAATAGTCGGCCTCATCCTCAGCCTGGGCGCCAGTGATGGTCAGTGTGGCGGTATTGCCCAAGTTGGCACCAGAGAACCGGTCAGGAATCCCCGAGTCTCGGTTGTTATCACTATATATGACCAGCATGGGGGCCTGGGGTGGCTTCTGCTGGTACCAGTCCACAGCTTTATCTCCAATGTTGTTTCCCTCGCAGGTCAGCGTGACTGTCTCTTTCAGAGACACTGACATGGAAGATGGCTGCGTCAGCACATAGGAGGCCACAGAGCCTGCAGGGAGAGAGGGAAGCAGATGTGGGAGTAGTGATGAGAGCTCCGTTCCTCAGACACTTACCCCTGGCATAGCTGGGATGAGTGCTGGGCTGGGTGGGAGTATGAGGGTCCTGGGGTGGCACCTGTGCAGTGAGCAAGGAGGCCAATGAAAAAGCATGGTCCAGGCCATGGTGGAGGTGTCCTGAATGCTCCTTCTTGAGGCCCTGGCTGTGGTGACTTCTTCCTAAGCCGCTCTTATCCTCTTGCCACAGAGATCTGCCCATTATGTAAATCAGCTCAGCTCAAGGCAGATGCTGCAAGAGATTGCTGGTGCCTAGGTCTAGCCTCAGCCTTAGGAGCACAGAGAGAGGATAGGTGTTCCTGCAGACCCACCCTTAACCCCAGGGGAAGCTCTCTCACATGTTAATGCATATGCAGTTCCAAGACAGTCACCCTACATCCTGGCATTGCTGCTCACTCTTCTGGCCATGCAGACATCAGAAATGCAGTCAGTGATTCTCAAACTGGCTGAAGCTCTGACTGTGGGTGGTCCTGCCCTGGTCCTATCTAGCAGGTGGGCTGGAAGACATATATCCATCCAACTTACACCAAGTCCAGGTCTATTTGGTGCTTAATCTTGGCTCCAAAGTAGACGGTTTTGGTTTCAGTCTGCAGAGGTATCCCATCCACAAATGCTTTCTAGCAGATTCCAAATGTCAGGTAAATCCATTTGCAGAGACTCTCCCGAACCTAATTCATGGATGAAAGTAAGAAACTTAAAACGTGAAAGACATTATTCTCATCATGCAGCTACTCGGTTAAGAGACAAGACAGGCCTTAAACTGAGGCCGACAGAGGGATGCATGCTTATAATCTCAGCATCCTGAGAAGATGAGGCAGGAGTTTCACAAGTTCAAGGCCAGGCAACATTGCAACATAGACAGATCCTGTATCAAAATGTAAAAAAAAAAAAAAATCCAACAAACAAACAAATATAAATTGGACGTGTATTTCAGTGTAAAGTTCATAGATTCAATTCACATTATTAACTAAAGTATTAACTATTAAATAAATTAACTAAATTGCTATTAAGTGCTATAAAAATTTCTGCATCTGGTTGTGAGCTCTTGCAGTAGGTTCTGGATGGTAGTGAGCTCTTGTGGTAGGTCCAGGAACCCTTCATCCACCTGTGTATTATAATTAAATTATCTTTAGTTGCCAGAGGAATTGTATCAAGTAATAAAAAGCTGTACTGAGCCACAATAAGCTTAGTGAACAAATATTTTGTACCTCATATGGAGAAGCTGGGGAGAGACAATTTGGCAGCTACTTCCAGGAAACAAACAGGGGTAGACCAGGTAGAAGTTATGCTGAGGGAGATTTCAGACAGAGAAAGTGGTGCCTAACTGGTTGGCTTTCCCAGGTGACACTCTGCTGCCTCCTGGTGGCTACAGGGGCATTAGCAGCTTCCTAGTTTTAGGAGTGCAGATTCAGAATCATCTCTGTGATTCTCTGATCAATGGTCTGCAGCCCAGGGGTAGAGATTTCTCTTCTCTGTGTGGCCCCTGCATCCTTCAAGATCAGACACAAGGCACTCACATTACCTTGAGTATGTGAACACCTTAATTTAAGAGCAGGAAGGGTCAAGGCCCACTTGACACACCTCTGTACATCCTGCTGGGCTTGTGGGGTGGTACTGAAGATAGTATTGTTGCTTCACACTGGCAGACACAATACTTAGGGATTATGCTAATCCTCGAGGACAGTGCATGTAGTTGGTGTTGCCTACTGTACCAAAGACAGAGACACTAGAGCCTCTATTCAGTATAGTATTGCAGATCTACTATTGTCTGACCAAAATACTATCCTGGGCATTCAGAATGACCAATTCACAGACCTTGGTCTCCAGAATTTCCATCCTATGGATGGGGCTGTGCAGTAGTCACACCGAGTTTATGCACACAGCAGGTGATCCTCGCCATCTTCTATTTGCGCAAGATCCCCTAGAGTTTTTCAAACTTGGACCTATTTCCAAGATCTTCTCCAATAAGATTGACCATGTGACCTAGTGCTGGTCCATTGGATGTAATAATCAAAACCAGACATACCCTAGAATTTTCTTATACATGCATGAACTCTGTGAAAGTCCTGACCACACTTTTTTCAACAGTCTGAGCTCTGGAAGGTGGCGATCAGAGGTTCCTCCACCAATGAGGATCCTGTCAATAACCCAAGGCCGTCCAGTGGCCAGAGCTGTGATGATATTCCACAACAACTTCAGAGCGTCTTCCACCAGAGTCTGCAGTTAAATGCAGAATCTTAAGCCTGATGGAAGATCTGCTTCGAGTTTGGAGAAAATACCAGGAAGGAGAGGGCCTGAGTGTCTGGAAGAGACAAATCCTTGTACCACTGCTGAAAAGTAAGTTTGACCCCTTCAAGAGACCAGGAGCCCTGAGTATCCATTCTGAGTTAGGGACACAAGTTCTAGGTGCCCCCAACAGCCCTCATTAAGCTCCTTCTTAGAGAACCTGACTTTGATGTGGACTCTTTAATGATTCTCAGCATCGTCTGAGCTACCGCAGATGACACTGGGGACACGGCTCTTGCACTACTTTTTCTCATAGAAGTCCTCACTTACCTGAGCACTGCTCTGTCTGACCCTGAGAAAGTGATCAGTGCATTCCAAAGGACTTTCCTGACTTCCAGTCTGAGGACTTTCGCTTAGCCCCTAGTGCTGGCCTCCTTCTTTGGATTCAGCTGTGCAGCTAAGGCCTCTCTTCTGCCTACATCTCTGCTGCTCCTTGGCGATGCTGGTGAAGGAGTCTCAAAGTAAAAGCCTCCCTGCTTCAGGCGATGGCCAACGTGCTGTTACCTGAAAAGGAGCTGCTTTGGAGTCCAGTCTCATTAGTGCTCTCACTCTTTCTTTCTCATTGTGTACAGAGAAGGAGCATTGTGGTAGGCAGGAGGAGGAGAAAGTGCAGTATTGCAACTGAGTCTCAGAATGTAATGTTTGTGATTGGACCTGTGCATGGATTGAAGAATACAGACTGAAGACAAAGCCTTAGGTCTTCTGCAAAACGTCTAGAAACCCACGGTGACATCTTGCATGGATTTTACTTCTCTTACATATGACTAGGAATCAACCCTGATCCCACACTTCCCCACCCTTCCAGGTAATCACATCTGCTGTGTGGTGGGACCGCTGGACATTTTGCCTGCACATTTCAGCTGCGTGTACACATCGTAATCCATGTCATCACCATCCTAAACATCACTGCTCTCCCTATTACATTTATCTTCACCATCAGCATGGTTGTCATGTCCTCATCATGATTATTATTAATTATATTCTTCCTACATTGTTAAGCCTCCTGTAACAGCCTAGTACATACTCCAGATGAAACTGAGAATCTCAAAATCACACTGTATTCTTATCACTTTGGGAGGGTCTCCCCAGAGGCAGAGAGGATGCCACAACTTGTGTTAGGCAACAAATCCCAGGCTGCATTTTGCTTTAATTAATAGGACCCCACTTTTTCCTCCGATCACTATTGTGAATTTTTTTTTTACTAAATATACATACAACTCATCCATTTTCACAGCAGATAAAGTGAGGTTCTGTGTCTTGTAGGACAGAAAAACTTGATGTCAAATTAAGGAGTTGAAGGACTTCCAAGAAAATAGTGGAGCATTAAGCAGCAGATGGCACAGCCTTTCTGAGAATCACTGTCCCGACGATGGAATATAGCATCGTGAGAAAGGCAAGAAAGAAGCAGAAAGAACCTGAAGGGCAATTTGAAGCCCACAAGAGAGAGTGAAAAGAAAAACTTCAGGGAAAAAGCAGTTGCTCACTGGTGGTAACTTCACCCTGAGATAGGACTCACTGCATTAGAGGAGCTGTTTGAACCTGGGGATGCATGGTCAAGGTGACGGTGATGGCTGACACCCCTGGAGGGCTCTGCAGAGAGTGGTGGCCGTGCAGGGGAGCAGCGGACATGGAGGACTGCACTGGGTGGTGCTGAGTGCAGAGGACTTAGTCCTCCTATGGAGAGCACAACTGGCTGGGAGCCATTTCGCAATTGGGCCAGCAGAGTTTGGAACACAGATCTGCTGCTGGCTTTGCTTAATACTCCCAGCTGGGCACAGATCTGGAAACTGCTTGGACTGTGACAAGCCCCTTTAGTCTGGTCTCAGGCCAGGCTTGCTGAGATTAGCCACTACTCCATCAAGAAGCTACTGCTGCTTTGCTGGGATCGATTGGCACAATTGAGGACTCTTTCTCTGCAAATGGTCTACTAGTGAAATCAGAGAGAATCCTAGAAATGGACTGCTGGCTTTTCTTTTCCATTTTTTTTTCTCTTTCTCCTTCATTGTTCTTATATGAGTGTGAAAGTGGTTGCTTACCTTGTTGTTGGTATGACTTTGTTCTGTTCTGCCATTTATCTCTTCCATCTATCTCTTTTCCTTAAGTTTTCTGCACCAATTTCCCCAAGTGGGTAGGATCCGACTTTGTCCTGAACCTTACTTCTAATCTCTTTCTTTTCTTCCACTTCTATGTATTTTTCTTAATCCATTTTAAAATTTATCCTTGAGGGCAAAATTGACACATTGGAGATTTATATACTTCATATAATTATCTGGTTTGTTTTCCATTTTGTTTTATAATCACAAGTCTATTTCATACAGTGAAAGGCTGGAAATTAAGCTTTTGCTGAGTTTGTTGTTTTGTAGCCTGTGTTTTTTGTCATTAGTACCACTATAGTCAAAGTTGACATAATTGTTCTAAACGGCTATTGTTCCTTGTATTCCACAACTGACATTAACTAAGAGTCCTAGAATATACCATGGCACAGTGCCCAAGAAACAGGCACCAGGCCAAACTAACAACAAGTTCTAGTCTCCAAACTGAAGACATAAGATCTTCCCATAGACTCAAAACCTAGAAACCAGCTTCATCTGGAAAATACATCAGAGAAGTAATCATCATCTAAGGGGTCCTAAGTACAACATATAAAGCAACTTCCAAGCATATCTCCAGAAATTAAAATAATAAAGAGAGAAAATAAAATGAGAAACCACTTAAGCAAAATGCAACCACACAGCCAGTTGACCAAAGGCAAATCCAGGGGACAATGATGTGGGACAATCCAAAAACTCCAGCCTACCTCTCTAAATTGGTGAAAACAAAGC